TATTTTTATAGATACAGGGTTTCACCATGTTGGCAAGGCTGGCCTCGAACTCCTGACCTCAGGTGATCTGCCCGCCTCAACCTCCTAAAGTGCTGGGATGACAGGCATGAGCCACCGCACCTGGCTCTCTTTCCTCTCTTTCCATTTTTTATATACTCTTTTATTAGAATTTTTCTTCTCCCAAGTTTGAAGCCAGCCAGACACAGAAATCACACAAATGAAGATCAGTTAGTTACTTTTATTACTGACAAATTATCAATGTGTAGTTTAGAATTAAGGCCAAAGCTGTGCTAATATGTTACTCCAGATTTGGGTATCCTTGAGCTACATCAAGTCACTGACTCAGATTAAGAACCACAAGCCTGAACCTCTTGGAGGCCCTTTACCACATGGCAGAGAACACAGCAGTATACTCCCTTTCTCCTGGTAGACTGAGTTGAGAGAGAACAGGAAGGGGCAGAGTTGAGCTTGCTGCCTCCCAAACACACCTATTACATACTCAGTCCTACTCTCTGCAAAGGAGATAATTCACCCTGGCCGCACTGAGCAGAATAGATAAGAAAGTAGGCTGGACACGGTGGCTCATGCCTGTAATCCCAGCACTTTGGGAGTTTGAAGTGGGCAGATCACTTGAGGTCAAGTGTTAGAGACCAGCCTGCCCAACATGGTGAAACTCCATCTCTACTAAAAATATAAAAATTAGCCGAGCATGATGGCACATGCCTGTAGTCCTAGCTACTGGGGAGGCTAAGGTAGGAGAATCGCTTGAACCCAGAGGGGAGCAGGTTGCAGTGAGCCAAGATCATGTCACTGCACTCTAGCCTGGGCAACAGAGTAAGTGAGACTTCCATCAAAAAATAAAATGAAATAAATATAGAGTAGATTAATAGATTAGAAAGTATAAGAAGGTGGTAGAAAGACAGGTAAAGGGATACTGTTATAGCAATAATACTTTACATCCTATATAAAAAGAAGGAAAGAAAAGACTTTGGGTGGGGTTGAAATTAAAATGTGTTTTCTTGTCCTATTCAACTTCTTGACTCTGAGATGTGTCAGGTATATATTGGGCATCTCAATTTCAGACAAGAGAGAGAATCCCTTTGCCTAGTTTTATAACTGCTTCTTTGAGGACCATTTATTGGCTGATCCTCCAATCATATGCCCTTTTGAACTGTTCTTTTCAATGGTAATTTGTTCTTGGTTCAAGAGGCATCAGCAGGTTCATTACATGTTATAAGCAGTTCTCAACCTGGGGGAGGACAGAGTGAAAACACAGCAGGGCTTGAACAAAGATACATTGTCCCAAATTCCAATGTGCCCCTGAGGTTGACTGCTGCAGTCACACTACCAATTTGTTCAAGTCTTACCGTATGTACCTCTCTTTGAAATATGACTTTTCTGCTCATCCTACAAAGAGGCTGAATCTATTTCTCTAATCTTTATTCTATTTTTTAAAAATTGAACTTACAGCAAACAATAAATTTCTACCCTTTGAATCTGGATTGGGTTATGTGACATGTGTTGGTAAATGTGACACAAGCAGAGGCTTAGAATAAGCTTGCCCATTGGGTTTTGCTCTCTCTTTTTCCTGGGAATCCTTTTGCCAGCCTGTGTCAAGTCTAGGCTAGCTGACTGGATAAGAGAGCAGACAGAGTGAGACTCCAGTTGTCCGTCTCTTCCCTGTCATTCCTGCCTTCCCAGCTAAGACCCTAGACAAGTAAGTGAGGCCACCTTAGACCATTCAGCCATAGCCAAGCAAGCCCAGATCAGAAAGGTCATCAGCCAACCATAGAATGGTGAGAAAGAGAAATCATTTGCTTATTTTAGTCCACTAAGTTATAGGGTGACTTGTTACATGGGAGAAGCTAACTCATATACTATCTTACTAGCCATGAAGACAAAGAAAGAAAAGAATTCTACCAAAAACATAAGAAAAAAAAGGTGATTGTAGTTCAAAATGAATTTAATCTTCAGCTTCCTGGCAGCCAGGGAATTAAAAGCAAGACTGAGTTATAGAGTTGTCACTATTTGAGAAAATAAGCATATAAATTCTGAAGAGCTGACAAACATACTGGTTAAAAAACATAAAAGATATGTCAATATTGAAGAGACACAAAATACCATAAAACAAAGTATCTTCACATGCACAATAAAAGAGAACCCTTTATATAACTTCCTTATATTAATCACCAATATATGTCATGATGGTTCAATAAGTTGTAAAACAGCAGCTTATCAAACCATAAAGGAAGGAATGATTAACATGTTTATTAAAATAATTGGAATTTTTAAAAACACACTTTTGGAAAAAGTCGCATATGAAGGTAAATCTTTAGATGTGAAAGGATTTTATTTTTAAAACTTACTTGCCATTCTTTCGTAATATAGTTACTCTTTGTATTTACTTAAATAAATTCACTTGAATGAAATGGGAGTTTGACTAGGTTATTTACGTACTTTAAACTTCAAAAGTCATATTTCTGTAGAATTCAGAGTAATATGAATGTATTAATAATTAAATATTCACCACATGAATAAGATTTGGATTTTAAAGTTCAGCTTTGATGGTGTTAAATTATTAATTTCTCACATTTTCTTGATCTGTCAATAATATGTACTATTTATTGAACCCCAACTATGAGCCATGTACTCTGCTAAGTGCTTTACATGTATTAATTCATTAAATTCTTTCATCTGTCCTAGAAGGTAGATACTATATGCTTTTCCTATCCTGGGCCCTTCATTGGTCCATCTGACATGTGTAAGCTTCCACTGAAATTGCATAAAAAGTCCTAAATCAATGAGGAAAGTTTTAGAAAATGAACTATTTAAACACAAATCAAATTACAGTCATGAGTCACTTAACAATGGGGACACATTCTCAGAAATGCATTGTTAGGTGATTTCATCATTGTGTGAACATCACAGAGTAGACTTATGCAACCATAGATGGTATAGCCTATTACACACCTAGGCTATATGATATAGCCTATTGCTTCTTGGCTACAAACCTGTATAGCATGTTATTGTATTAAATACTGTAGGCAGTTGTAAAATAAAGGTAAGTATTTGTTTATCTAAACATAGCAAAAGAGAGTAAAAATGTGGTATAAAAGAAAAAATGGTATACCTGTATAGGGCACTTACAACAAATGGAGCTTGCAGGACTGGTAGTCTCTCTGGGTAAGTCAGTGAGTGAGTGGTGAGTAAATGTGAAGGCCTAGAATATCACCAGGTACTACTGTAGACTTTATGAACACTATACACTCAAGCTACACTAAGTTTATAAAAAACGTTTTTCTTTCTTCATTAACAAATTCATCTTAGCTTACGGTAACTATTTTACTTTATAAACTTTTGTCACTTTTTGACTCTTTTGTAGTAACATTACCTTAAAACAAAAACACATTGTACAGCTCTACAAAAATATTTTCTTTCTTTATATCCGTATTCTATTAGCTTTTTATATTTTTAAAATTCTTTATTTTATTTTTTTACTTTTTAAGCTTTTTGTTTAAAACTAAGACACAAACACATACATTAGCCTAGGCCTACACAGGGTCAAGATTATCAATATCATTGTCTTCCACCTTCATATCTTATTCCTGTCATCATATCTTATTCGCTGTCATCCAGGCTGGAGTGCAGTTGCATGATCTCGGCTCATTGCAACCTCTGCCTCCTGGGTTCAAGTGATTCTCCTGCCTCAGTCTCCTGAGTAGTTGGGATTACAGGTGCACATCACAATGCCTGGCTAATTTTTGTATTTTTAGATACAGACGGGGTTTTGCCATGTTGTTCAGGCTGGTCTGGAACTCCTGGCGTCAAGGGAGTCGCCCACCTCAGCCTCCCAAAGTGTTGGGATTATGGCGTGAGCCACCATGCCCAGCCCCAGTGGATGGCCTTTGGGGTAACAACACGCATGGAGTTGTCATCTCTATAATAGCAATGTCCTCTTTAGGAATACCTCCTGAAGAATGCTCTTGAGGCTGCTTCATAGTTATGTTTTTTCAAAGTAGAAGTAGTACACTCTAAAACAATGATTAAAAGTATAGTGTAGTAAGTACCTAAACCAGTAATATAGTCATTTATTAATCATTAACAAGTATTATTTACTGTACATAATTATATGTCCTATATTTTTGTTTGACTGGAAATGCAGTAGGTTTGTTTGCCATCATCACCACAAACACCTGAGTCATGCATTGCGCTACAACATCATGACAGTTGATAGGAATTTTTCAGTGCCATTGTATCTTATGGGACCACTGTCATATAGGCAATTTGTCATTGACTAAAAGATCTTTTTGTGGCACATGATTGTATATCCTTATCTGAAACTTTATACTAAAATAAATTTGAGAATGATTTAATCAAGTGGTGGCATGGGCCTGTAGTCCTAGCTACTCTGGAGGTGGTAGTGGGAGAATTGCTTGAGCCCAGGAGGTCAAGGCTGCAGTGAGCCATGATTGTACCACTACACTCCAGCCTGGGTGACACAGCCAGACTCAGAAAAAAGAAAGAAAAGAAAAGAAAAAGAGAGGAAAGAAAGAAAGAAAGAAAGAGAAAGAAAGAAAGAAAGAAAGAAGGAAAGAAAGAAAGAGGAAAAGAGAAAAAGGAAAGAAAAAAAGAAAAGAAAAGAAAAGAAAAGAAAAGGAAGGAGGGAGGGAGGAAGGAAGGAAATTAAATGTTAAGCCTAAGCCAGGCATGGTGGCATATGCCTGTAGTCCCAGCTACTTGGAGGGGAAGCTGAGGCAGAAGAATTCCTTGAGCCCAGGAGTTGTAGAGTCCACCCTGGGTGACATATTGAGACCACAGAACCTATCTCAAAAAACGAGAAGAATTAAATGTAAAATTAAGCTATAAAAATTACAATTATCCAGGATAAAGAAGTCTTCTTATATCACACAAGCAATTAAGAAAGTTACAAAGAGTAATATTATTAGAAAAATAGTTGAATATACACTAATGAAATAAGGCTTATGATTTCTTTCCCACAGGAGTATGAGCATTACTGGACAGAGTTGAGAGGAACTACACTTTTCTTTTATACCGACAAAAAGAGTACAATAGTAAGTAAACACGTTCAGCTGATTCCATTGTTTCCCAATACAACCTTGTCACATAGCATATTATTCATTTTGCATTTTCTGTCATCCAAGAATAAAGATGCTCTGGTAAAATTAATTCAAAAAAGAAAGTTTAAATCTGTGAAGGCCATCAATGATGACAGGAACAATGGCAAATTTTCCTGGGCAATTCAGAAGAAGATATTGACTCATGTTTTTTACTTTTCATTCTTTTCTTTCTGATTCTGATAACTAAACTTAGTTACAAAGTAAAAATTTTTAACAAGACATATGCACATATATTGCTTAATACCAAGTGATAGCTTCAATTTCTCCCATTTTTTATCTTGCTATAGCATGCATTTATAATTGGAAAGGAAGAAAACGATCTCCAGAGCATGCAAAGCCACTATTTAAGTTTTCTGAAAAGACAAAAACATATTTCACAAAGCAGGACTTCTAAGGGCTTAAACATGAGAATAACAATAAAGGGATTCTGAGATTTATTTATTCATATTAATTTCAAATTCTGATTGTATGTTTCAGTTCTTCCAGGAATAAGATATAGCATTTTAGTGGCAAATGCTTACCTACCTTGGAACACTATATTTATAAGAGATTTTCTGAGCCAGTAACTTGATTAAATATAAACATTCTGGATCTGGATATAGTAGCCCATACTTCTTAGAACATCATTATTAGAAGCCAACATCTAATGAAAGAGACAGAAAAATAACCCGTGTAATGTAGAATGTTTTCAAATGCCATAATAAATTTTACAAAATTAATTCCTCTTTTGTGCATTCCAATTTCCCACTGATGTCCGTAAATATAAAAAAGCTTTCATTCTAACCTTTTCTAATGCACAGTAAGTGAGAGAGCTAACAATTGTTGCTCACTTACTACATGGCAAGAGGCAGTAAAGCTTAGTAATCAAGAGCCTGGTCTCTTCCGACAGCCTGCCTGGGTGTTTGTCCTAGCCCTGCCACTGTTAACTGCAGAATCTTGGGCCAGTTACCGACCTCTCTGTGTCTCAGTGTTATCAGACAGGAAACTGGTAGAAAACAGAAGACATCTCAAATTGGGCAATTTGAAGAGAATTTAATAAAGTTTTAATAAATATGCAAAGCAGTGAGCAGGGTGTAGGAAAATTACAAAGATAGTACAAAACCCTGAGGCTAGCAACAGTGTCCATTACCACATCTAGGATTGAGAGCAAAGAGTGGGAAAGTAGTGAGAATTGTATGGAGATGACTGCCTTGAGGAGAGTATGATCTTTGATTGAGGGAGCAACTGCGCAGGGTAATAAATATCCACCCTCACTCTTCTGATCTCCTGCCACTGTTCTCCAGTGGTCCAACCCAATAGGAACTCAAAGGGTACGGAGCTCCTTGATGTTGTCCATACAGGTCTCTCTCCAGATGCAGAGTGTTGGGTGGTGAAGGAATAAAAGTGAATCTAAAAGGGCAAACAAAAGATCTCCAACACAGTCTTCAAATCTCTAAAATTAGAATAAAAATAGTAGTCTATTTTATAAGGTTCTCAAAATAACTAAATGAGATAGCACATGTAAGGACCTAAGACAGTAGCTGGCACATAGTAAGCATTCAGGCATTTTACATGCATTGTCTAATTTAATTCTCACAACTCTGCAGAATGGGTGCTATTTTAATTCTGGCTTTATAGATGAGATTAGTGAAGTTTAAAGATTAAGAAATTGTACAAGGTCAGACAGGAAATATGAAAGGTACAGTCCAGGTCTTCTCCTAAGCCAGCCTTCTTCATCACCATGCCATGAAGAGATTGTTATAATGAAATGACTCAGAATTGCCCATCTACCAATTTTTGTTAAGAGTATACAGACCTTTTGGGAACTTCTTAAAGTGATAGTCTCAGAAGAAAGCACTGGGACAGACAAGGTGAGAAGTGTAGATTTTTATCTTACAAAAGGGAAGAATTTAAAGCTGCCTTTAAATATTTGAAAGGCTGTCAGGAAGTCGTGTGAAAGGGTCACTGAATTTGTTTCATGTTACTCCAGAAAGAAGAGATTAGGAGCAATGGATGAAAATTGGAGGAAAGCTGTGGCTTAATACAAGAAAAAACTGGCTAGTAGGCAGAGGTGCTCAGGAGGCATGAGTTCCATGTTAGAGATGTTTGAATACAGACTGGATGACTAATAAAAGGATACCCTGGCAGAGATGCCATCAGATGTCAGTGAGGTTAGACAGATGACGTTTAAGCCTCTTCACAAGATACAAATAACAACAAAAAGATATGACTTCCTTTCTTCTAATCAATGGATCAGGCTACCGCACTCCATCTCACTGCTTCCTCTTCCTCTGTTGCTTCCTCCTTCGTTGCAGCAAAACTCACTGAGTTTGATCTAGACAATCCCTCAGAAAAAATATTTGTTTAATTTTAGATTCTTTCTTCCCTTGTGCCTCTCCTTCCATATTTTAAAAATTTATTTATTTTTAAAATTGGCATATAAAATTGTTTATTATGTACAACATGATGTTTTAAAGTATATATACATTGTGGAATGGTTAAATTGAAAATAACTAGGCCAACTCAAACTTACTCTCAACCTCATCAATATAGAAATAGCTTTGGAAAAAAATTACATATCTATTTTTATGTCCTACTTTACTCAGAAAAATAAGACTTACGAATGTACAGTAAAATAAGTTATATTGGGCACAGTTGAAAGAAATGTAAAAAGATAAAAAGAACTCAAGAATGAGGCTAATTTAGTAAAAATATATATATCATAAAAACCCTACTATACTTACCACAGGTGGTTCTTTCTACTACTAGAAGGCAAGCCTGTTGCATATAGAGAATGGAAATTGACCAGTTTCTCAGAACAAATATTTTTATTGTCTTGGATAGGATAGGAATTTCTTAATAGGAATGCCATAATCAGTGGTGTGTAGTAAATGTTGAATAGTTTTCTGGAAAACAGTATGAATATATATGTACATAAACTTGTTATAAATATTACTGATATGAACAATGTATAGTACACAATTAGAAAAAATACACAATAGTCTTTATTGTAATGTCCATACAGACAATTCATTCTCACAGAATGCTTTCCTTGATTTTTGCCTACCTTTTGCATTGGTAAGCAACTGTCAATGTAATTCAATCATAATTTGACATATGGAGATTTAAATGGTATTTAAAATCTATTTCCATAATAAATGCATTATGATATTTGACATGAATATTGTCTAATATTTTCATTTACATTAAAGAGTAAAAAGAAAGCAAAACAATAATGTATGTTAAAACATCATGTATTTATTAAAATCAATAAATGTGAGCAATTTCTTTGCTGAATTGGAAGAATATTTTGTCAATTTTTGTTCTATTTACAGTGAAACAGATTCAGACACAACAAACCTATCTCATCTGCGTATTAACATTTTTTCCTTTACTTTTTAAAGCCTACCCCAGGGGCCAATAATCTGGATGATGGGCCAAATCTGGCCTATGGCCTGATTTTGTTCAGTCTTTGAGCTAAGAATGTCTTTATATGTTTAAAGTGCTTCTAAAGAAAAAAACAAAAACAAAGAATGTGCAACAGGCTGTATGTATTCCTGAAGTAGGTACTGTTTGGCCTTTTGCAGAAAAAAAGTGCTGCCCCGGACATCAACAAAATAATAAATCAAGCTTGATTTGTAAGGTTTACCAATTTCCATGGTGTAAAATACTCCTACCATGGCTGATTTCAACCTATCACTATGACCTCACTGAACATGTAGTTGGGAAGAAAAGCACAGTAGCACAGTATTATATGGTATTTTCACCATACAGAAATGAAGATGTAAATAACCTTAAGAACATACAGAACAGTAAAATATAGAAACACAATTAGAATGTAACAAATTTTGTTTTAATTACTTTTGCTTTGAATGTAATTTATTTACTGGTATGTTTATATAATTCAATTTTTTAAAATAATGGCTGTGTTTAACAACTGCTTACAAAATTCCTGAAAATTTAACAATTGGCTTTTGCAAACCTATGTGAGCCAGGTTCAGCACACCACCACATAATACATTTCCACATGTCCTCTGGGATTAGGAAAACCAGGGTATCATACAAAGTACTAATCAGTTGAAAGGAAGCTATTACTTATTTTGCTTCCTGCTAGAACTAATATGTATTACCCATGAAATAATGTAATGTGATCTTCCTTTATCTTTGCAGTATATTGACAAATTAGACATAATAGACCTCACATGCCTTACTGAGCAGAATTCAACTGAAAAGAATTGTGCGAAATTCACCCTTGTTTTGCCGAAAGAGGAAGTACAACTGAAGGTGAGTGAGGAGAAACAGTAGTCTGTAAAGGGTTGTGGTTATAAATAACATTCTTCACATCCAGTGGCTAAAGTAAAGAGAAATTGTAAGACAGGCTAAGTCTTATACTTTGTTAATATTTTTTGCTTGCGTCTGGCCAAGAGCTAGTTTTCTGAATTGGAATATAAAAAGACATGGTCACTTGTTTAGCATACAAGCACCACGGAACCAGATACTCCTGCGCTCTGACAAAGTCAGGGATCCCACCTGGTGTTTGTTAAGGTTGTTCTTGAATCAGCATTCAAAATGAGCCAATAAAAGTCAACCAGTAACTACAGTAGTAACATAAAGAGAACAACATGTATTAAATAAGATATACTCTGAGACTTTTCCTGGGAGATTACTGATTGACCTTGAAAAGCACTGGTCTAAACTTTCGTGTAATAGGAATCACCTGTACTAAGGAAATAGGACCCCCCATTCCCCAACCCAAAACCTATATTTTAAGCAAGCTCCCAGATGATTTGCAGATATGATGGTGAAGAGCACAGGACTGGTGTCGGATACTTGGGTCTGAATTTGGGCTGTTTTATTCATTCATTGTGATTATAGGCAAGTCACTTACCCTTTTTGTGTCTTTGTTTCTTCACTCAGAAGTAAGTCTTTGCTCAGATGAAACCCCCTCATCAAGGCCTACCTGGACCACTTTATTACAGTGGCAACCTTTTCCCCCTCTCCTACCCTCTAGTTGCACTCCTAATCTCTCTTACCCTTCTGTACCTTTAATTTTTCTCATTTCTTTCTTTTTGACACTATAAAATTTACTATTATGTTTATTATTTATTGTTCCTTGCTAGACCCTAAACTCCATGAGTACAAGGATTTTTGTTTTGTTCCCTGATACAAACCAGTGCGTAGAATAGTGCTTAGCACTTAAAGGTACTTAGTAAATATATGTTAAATGAAAAAATCTGTAAAACCATCAAACAAGCAAAAATAATAGGACCTTTTGCCAAGTTGTCTTGAAGGTTAAATCAAGTAATACCTGTGAAGTGCTTAGAATAGTAGCTACCACTAAAAGTGCTCAAAACATGTTGGCTGCAGTCTTGACCTTCCAGCTTCAAGCAACTTTCCCACCTTAGCCTCTCAAGTACCTGACACCACCACACCAGGCTAATTTTTTGTATTTTTTGTAGAGACGGGGTTTCACCATGTTGCCCAGGCTGGTCTCAAACCCCTGAGCTCAAGTGATCCTCCCACCTCAGCCTCCCAAATCGCTGAGACTACACACATGAGCTACCAACCCTGGCCTGGTATTGTTACTGGTAATAACAAGTAATAGTACTTACAGCTAAGAATTGGAAGTTTCCACTTCCAAATTTGGTTGTCCTGAATTTAAAGCCAGTCCATTTTAACTGCTAATGGAGAGAGTCACTGTGAATTGACATACTGCAAAAGTAAGTTTTCTAACATTTAATTTTTTTGAGTAAATTTGTACATGTTCATTTGTTTTAAGTAAGCAAACAGATTACAGCTATACATCTTCTGACAAAAGAAAATAGTATTGAAATATTTCATAAAAAATACACATTAGTAATTCTAAGCCAAAAAAAGAAAATGAATTATTTATTTTAGGCTCAGCCATAATTATTTATTTTATGCTCAGTCACTCATGTGTTTCCTTCTTTGGCTTTATCTGTTTTTGTCTTCAACTTTAGACAGAGAACACAGAAAGTGGGGAAGAATGGAGAGGCTTCATTCTTACAGTAACAGAGGTAGGAAGCTCACTGCTTTTGACTGATTCTTTTTTTTTTTTTTCCAACAAATATCTGCCGAACACCCTATGAACCATGCAGAGTGAAAGTGGCTGAAGATATAGCAATTGAAAAAGATAGACCTAAACTCTTGCACTTACTTATGAATGTTATATTTTCATCAGGTGGTGGAGAGGGAGAAAGTAAACAAGTAAACAGATGATCATTTCACATTGTGATAATTGTTATGAAGAAAATAAGGCAATTCGCTAGGGAGTAACAGGTGGTAAAGGAGATCTACTTTTTGGTCTTATCCGTTTGATTCATTGGTCCTTTGTATATTCTGATATTTGTAGCTAATACAGCATGTTTGAAAATACTTTCCAACTTCTTTTTTTGTTTGTTTTTTTTTTTGAGATGGGGTCTCACTATGTCCCCCAGGCTAGAGTGCAGTGGTATAATTTGGTTCACTGCAACCTCCACCTCCAGAGTTCAAGTGATTCTCCTGCTTCAGCCTCTCAAGTAGCTGGGATTACAGGCATGCACCATCATGCCCAGCCAATTTCTGTATTTTTAGTAGAGACGGGGTTTCATCATGTTGGCTGGGTTGGTTTGGAACTCCTGGCCTCAAGTGATCTGCCCGCCTCGGCCTCCCAAAGTACTGGGATTACAGGTGTGAGCCACTGCGCCCGGCCTCCGATTTCTTTTTTATTTATTTAATACATATTTATAGAATAGTAGACAAGATGAATTTTATAAATAACATAGACAATGTAACAGGGAGAGACCAGAAAAATGAAAACTCACCTTTAAACGTTTCTTTAGTGAGTCTTAAAGCAACAGGATACTTACCTGTTCAATTCTGTGGTGTTTTATCAGAGGCAAATAGTAAGATCTACTGCTTAGAGTTAACTCTTGCAGTCAGATAATGTCCATTATTTTAAATAAAGCCACTGTAGCAATTGCCTTGGAAATATGAGGTTCTTTGATAACCAGCCTCCCAAGGAGCACCACGTTCTCTAGTAATTTAAAAGGATATAAAAACTGTGTTTGTTAGAGTCAGTTAAACACAGATTCTATCCAAAGCTAGTTTCTAAGTAAGCCATCGCAGTCATCTGAAATAAGCAGTGCACTTTACCAAGTTGATGAATGGAAGTTCTTTACTTCAGCCAGTAAAAGGTAAAAGTTAGAGGTTCAACTACTGTGTAGGGAAGATATATGAGGCTAGAAAAGTGGACCAGTTAAAGATGTGAAGAACATGTTGACTTCTGAGAGGGAGAGGAAGAAATCCTGGGGAATTGCACTCTTTCCCTCTGTTGTTGAAAGTATCACTGTGTGGTATGGTGCTTCCAATACCGGGTATAACTATCCCAAGGGTATATGTGACTAAGTGTCAAGGAGTACACTAAAAACACTGGCAAAAACTTGTTGCATCTTCCTGGTACACTAAGTACGTATAAAGTTTTGGCTAAACATTTTGTTTTTAGTTTCTTTCCTGGAGTAAGAATAAAAAGCATTATTTTTATATTAAAACACACACATAAATAAGTAACTGAATATAAGATAAAATTTATGATATTTTTTTTTTTTTTTGAGATAGAGTCTCACTCTATCACCCAGGCTGGAGTGCAGTGGTGAAAGCTTGGCTCACCGTAACCTCCACCTCCTGAGTTCAAGCAATTCTCCTGCCTTAGCCTCCCGGGTAGCTGGGATTACAGGTACCTACCACCATGCCCGGCTAAGTATTTTAAAAAATGTTTTTAGTAGAGATGGGGTTTCACCATGTTGGCCATGCTGGTCTCAAACTCCTGACCTCAAGTGATGCTCCTGCCTCGGCCTCCCAAAGTGCTGGGATTACAGGTGTGAGCCACCATGCCCAGCCTATGTGAATTTTTAAGAGAAGACAAGTTGCCTCAATTTTGTACTCTGTAAATGTTGTTTTGTGTTATGATTCCAGATCACGGCATATGAACAATTTACAGTATGTTGTTATTAGGATAACTTTAGTAGAGAAGTGAGAGCAGCTCAGACTGTATGTAGTTGAAAGCATGGAGACATTGCTTTTGAATCAAATAAACCCCATTTTGGGTCCTGGTTCCATAACTTACTAGCTATGTGACTCTGGATTAGTTATTTAATCTTTCTGAGCTTGATTTTTTTTTTCTATTTGTATTAGGCCATTCTTGCATTGTCATAAAGAAATACCTAAGACTGGGTAATTTATAAAGAAAAGAGGTTTAATTGGCTCATGGTTCTGCAGGCTGTACAGGAAGCATGGTGCCAGCATCTGCTCAGCTTCTGGGAAGGGCCTCAAGGAGCTTTTACTCATGGCACAAGGTGAAGGGGGAGCAGACATGTCACATGGCGAGAGTAGGAAAGACAGAGAGTGGGGAGGAGGTACCACACACTTTTAAATGACTAGATCTCACAAGAATTCACCCACTAACATAAGAAAAGCACCAAGCCATGAGAGACTCATCCCCATGACCTAAACACCTCCCACCAGGCCCCATGAGCTTTGGTGGGAACACATATCCAAACTATATCACCATTTGTAAATTGGGGATAACAATACCATTTTTTTTTTTTTGAGATGGAGTCTTGCTCTGTCGCCCAGGCTGGAGTGCAGTGACTTGATCTCGGCTCACTGCAACCTCCGCCTCCCAGGTTCGAGCAGTCTTCCTGCCTCAGCCTCCCAAGTACCTGGGATTACAGGCACATGTCACCCAAAATTTTTTTATTTTTAGTAGAGACAGGTTTCACAATGTTGGCCAGCTGATCTTGAACTCTTGACTTCAAGTGATCCACCTGCCTTGCCCTCCCAAAGTGTTGGGATTACAGGCATGAGCCACTGCGCCCTCCTGTGTAACAGTACTTTGTAGCATTTCTGTGAGGAATTGCAATACAACATGTACAATGTTTGAGCTATAATAGCCAATTAATAAAGATATGTGCTTCATTAGGTAGTTTTCCCCATTATTTTATTTTTTCTGGTATATATGGAAATTGTTTTACTGGTTATTAGCTTAGTTATCTAAAAATGTCTCTAAGCCCTTTTTATTGTATATCCCTATTAGTAAATGTTTATGTAAATTTTATATGTACTTGTACACATATTAAAACATATATAATAATACAAATTAGTGAAATAGTAACTTAATAGAAAGTGAAGTTATAAGGTTTTCTTCCCATACTCTAATGAACTTTCTTGTATACCTCCTGGAAAGCATGCACCCTTCTCTGAAGATAAAGGTGATAATCACATAAGGCTGCCTCCAAATACAGACTTGCTAGTGTTACGTACAAAAAATATCCTACCATTCAAACTACACCTTTCAAGAGCACAGAACTGGTCATAATAAGGTCAAAATTGGAGGTATGAATATAAATCAGAAGGACATATATAGGTGAGTCAATATGAAATACATCTCTAGGAAAGGTAACAACCACCACAAAACCAACGAATAAGTAGAAATATCATAATTCTAACACGTGAATGAATGTTTGAAACACACCACAGACACAAAATAGAGACCTCTGACTGCCGCTCTTCAGTCATCTAACGAACAGTTCCATTTGAATCCCATGTTGCCATATAGCTGGGGGAAATAATTTCAGATTACTTATGAGAGAGTAAGGTACCTTGAAGGTGTTCTGGAACTTCCCTGGCATTGATGAACTAGTGAGCTCAGAATGAAAAATATGAGGTTTGTTGTTACTTGAATTAGCTTTTAGTGCAAGGTGGGGTATTCTTTGGTTTGGGGCCAAACCAAAAGGAAGATTCCTTGGAAGAAGGGTAGGCACTCTGTGCAGATTGTAGTTGGTGCAGAGGCAGTTCTGAGAAACCCACCCTAGACTAAAATCCTCTGTTTCTTATTACCTTATTCCCTACTCACTCACCTCTGTCAGGTAACTGCAGTCCTGTAGGATCAGAACAGGTTCATCTTTACTAAAGTTGTAAGTTATTAAGCTGTTTTCTAGCCTGCCCTCTTTTTTAATTGGTTTCAGCTGTCAGTTCCCCAAAATGTGTCACTCCTACCTGGGCAAGTAATTAAACTACATGAAGTCCTAGAGAGAGAAAAGAAAAGGAGGATTGAGACAGAGCAGAGTACATCTGTGGAAAAAGAGAAGGAACCAACTGAAGATTATGTGGATGTACTGAACCCTATGCCAGCGTAAGTGCACAATGAACTGCAGTTTGTTCATTCAATTGTTAAAACTAATTTCCAATTATCAAGGAGAGTTAGCCACTTGCTCTTGCTAAGCCAGGAACAATATGCAGTCTTGGGGATAAACTGTATATCTCTGAGTACATGCCACATTTCCTCTTCTGTGTCATGATGAACAAAATGCAGATTTGAACTAACCATCTTACCACACAGGAAATCCCCTCCACCCACATCTTTAGAACAAATAGATACTCTTTCCAGAGCTCACACCTAAATAAAAACTCCTATGAAGAAGGCAGGAAAAGATACTTTTTCACTATGCAAACTCTATGATTGACTGATTTTGTATGATAAAATTATACCAATAAATTTTCAATATCTAGAATGTTCTATCCAACTGACCAATTAGTCAGTAGTCATCGAGCTTGTACTTTGTCAAAGACCTTGTATAAAATGTTTAAGGTACTGGAAAAATAAAGAGGTGCAGAAAATGCTAAATTCACCAACGTTCTACATTTATTTTTTATATTATTGAAAAGATTCTGAGCTCTTTCCTCCAGGAATCTTGGTGTTGTTGTCAGTAAAACTTGTCCTGGTACCCTGTTTGACATCAGGTTCTGTTGCATACTCTATCTGTGCTACAATCACTGAAACCTGACAACCATCATTTTTACCTGAAACCACTGGCAACTGATAGATTGACTAAAAGTCACACGGACTGCTAATTTTTCTTTTTTCTCAATAAAACAAGTAATATATGTTTATTACATATAAAAGATTAAAATCATTCCTTGTTCCACCACTCAGAGATATTTGCTATTAACATTTTCGGGTTTTTTTTTTTTTTTTTTTTGAGACAGCGTCTCATTCTGTTATCCAGGCTGGAGTGCAGCAGCGCGATCTCAGCTCACTGCAATCTCCACCTCTGGGTCTCAAACGATTCCCATGCCTTGGCCTCCTGAGTAGCTGGGACCACAGGCGCCTGCCACTGCACCTGGCTAATTTTTGTATTTTTGCAGAGATAGGGTTTTGCCATGTTGCCCAGGCTGGTCTTGAACTCTTGAGCTCACGTGATCCACCCGCCTTGGCCTACCAAAGTCCTGGGATTACAGGTGTGAGCCACCATGCCCAGCCTTCTACCAGATCTTTTCTATGAGTTTTTTTTTCTATGAATATAACTATATATTTTCTTGACTACGACGTACAGGTGGTCTGTATAAGTTGAACAATGGTTAAATGACTTTTTAACTTTAAGATGATGCAAATGCAATATGCATTCAGTATAAACTCTACTTTTTGAGTACCCATACACCATTCTGTTTTTCACTTTCAGTACAGTATTCAATAAACTGCAGGAGACATTCAACATTTTATTATAAATAAGCTATGCATTAGATGATTTTGCTCATCGATAGGCTAATGTAAGTGTTCTAAGCATTTTTAAGGTAGGCTAGGCTAAGCTATGATGTTCAGCAGGTTATGTGTATTAAATGCATTTTCAGCTTATGATATTTTCAACTTAGAGTGGGTTTACCGGGATATAATCCTATCATAATTCAAGGAGCATGTGTATATTATAAAAATGAGAAGTGCTTTTTTTATTTTGCACATAAAAATAACAACAATGCCATAGAAAGACATATTACACCAAAAGAAATGAGTGCAAACATATTTAAATATCAGTTGTTTAAAACTTAGACCATACAAGAGAAACATTTACAGATGTTTTGTATCCCTGAAAGGAAACTCCCAATAAATATTTATCCAAGAACCTACTTATCAACTGAGACTGGGGATACATTGTTAATTCTTGTTGGTAATGATGATCATATACTGATCAGTAGATAACTTTTCAGGTTCTCTTTGTATAAAAAGGCTTTGGAAGAATTAAGGAAGGAAGACCTTAACGTTAGCATACACAGAGTGACACAGGCTTGTAATAATAGATCATTGTAATTACATAATTGGAATAATCAAACCAGAAGTTTTAAGAAAAGTTAACAACTGCAGCTCTCAAAGTTATTTTGGTAGTATTTTTTCAAGTAATTATCTTTGTCAGTTAAAAAAAAATTCTGTTTTTTATCTTACCTCTGTAGATGTTTTTATACAGTGTCCCGGAAAGAGGCAACTGAGATGCTCCAGAAGAACCCTTCTTTGGGAAATATGATCCTGAGGCCTGGTAGTGACAGTAGAAACTACTCCATCACTATCCGGCAGGAGACAGAGTATGTTTAATTTTTTTTTTTTAATGTATGGAATTTTTAAAAGCATGGTATCACTTAATACAAGTCCAGATCAGCACCTGCTATGTGTTTCATTGGGGCTAAAAATATGAACATAAGTGGCCAGGCATAGTGGCTCACGCCTGTAATCCTAGCACTTTGGGAGGCTGAGGCAGATGGATCACGAGGTCAGGAGATCGAGACCATCCTGGGTAACACAGTGAAACCCCGTCTCTACTAAAAATACAAAAAAGTAGCCAGGCGTGGTGGCACGTGCCTATAGTCCCAGCTACCCGGGAGGCTGAGGCAGAAGAATTGCTTGAACCCAGGAGGCGGAGGTTGGTGAACTGAGATCACGCCACTGCACTCCAGCCTGGGCGACAGAGCAAGACTCCGTCTCAAAAAAACAAACAAACAAACAAAAAAACAAACAAAAAACACAAGAATAGGAGGGAATGTCATAAAAGCAATGCTAAAGACTGAGCCAATGCTAACATTGGCAGGGAAGAAGAAAGAATAACACATTATTTTGGTCCTGGGTATAGTTGTATTGTTCATTCATTCAAGTCAACAAACATTTATTAAGCACCTGCTATATGCCAAGCAATACTCTAGGCACTGAGAATACAGCAGTGAAAAAAACAAACATCTCTGTTTCGGTTTGAGTTGCCTAGCAATAAAAATATAAAAAGGAAAACATCCCTGGCTTCAATCTTCCATGAGTTTACAATTTTGTAGGGAGACAAAGACTTAAACACATAACTAAAAATATGTAGCAATAAGGTCTATAGAGTAAAATAAAGCAGGATGAGAGAGACGGGAACCCTCAGGGGTGATAAAGGGAGCACATTTTTATGGTTGCAGTTGTTTTAATATAGAGTGGTCAAGGAAGACCTACTTTATTAACTGATTTAAGCAGAGAGCTGAAGGAAGTGAGAGAATAAACCCTACCTATATCTGGGGCAAAAGTGCTCCAGGCAGCAAGTGCATATGCTTTGAGACAGAAGGATGTTTGACTTGTTCAAGAAAAGAAGAAGGCTGCTGTGACTGCAATGCAATGACCACAGAGAAAAGTCTTAGGAGAGGAGATTCCAGAGGTAGGGGTAGGGACACATCACTCAGAGCCCTACAGATCATCGTAGGGACAAGGGTTTTACTTTGAATGACATGAGAGGCCACTGAACTGTTGTCATAATCTGACTTATTTATAAAAAAAGGGCCACTCAGGAGCCTCTTTGTCAAGGTTACTAATTTCTTTCTGGTAAAATGGTCTAACTTTGATAAAGTCAGTAACACTTAAATGCAAGTTATTTTTCTGTGTAGTTAGGGTACTTAGATCTTTTAATAGACTCCAGCTTTCAAAGTCTATGAGAACTTGCACTTCATTGGGGACTCTGGCTTAGTTAATACTTCCACAACTGATAATATAATTTAAATATCGAGGTTTTGTCCTACATAAAAATATTCAATAAGCTGGGCGCGGTGGCTCACGCGTGTAATCCCAGCACTTTGGGAGGCCGAGGTGGGCGGCCCACGAGGTCAGGAGATCAAGCCCACCCTGGCTAACACGGTGAAACCCTGTCTCTACTAAAAATACAAAAAATTAGCCCTGTAGTCCCAGCTACTTGGGAGGCTGAGGCAGGAGAATGGCGTGAACCCGGGAGGCGGAGCTTGTAGTGAGTTGAAATTGCGCCATTGCACTCCAATCTGGGTGACAGAGCAAGAGTCCATCTCAAAAAAAAAAAAAAAAAAAGAAAATATTCAATAAATGACTTTCTTTAATAAACATGCATAAACAGAAATTTGACTTTTGAATTTGCTATTCCTTATGGGGATAATATTATTTTATTAAATTTTATACTATAACATATCTATCAAGGAATCTATCTACTAATCTGCCCCATAAATATCTATAATTCTAAATATGAAGACACGTATGGTGAATAATGGTAGTTAAAAAGAAACAAGTTCCAGAGACAAATTTAAAACATGGCATTATGGCTACATTGCTAGTGTGAGCCACAGCCCAATAAGATTTATTCATTTGCCAGTAAACAGATCCTTGTCTTACACACTAGTCATGGGCACTTTAACAGATGGCAAGAATGTTAGATGGTAAATCAGATCATGGTTCTTTGTGTAAGGAAATGTGCGTGTGTATATCTCTGTGTGTATATTTCTACAATGAATGTCTGTCAACTTAAACTTGTGGTTTCATTATATTTTGTTTATTATAAACTAACATTTTAAGTTAATGGATTTTCAACTCTATTGAAATATGGTAAAAAAATAATAGATTTTTCAGTTACAACCTGATTTGATTTATAATTTACTTGACTATCTTGATACAAATCCAAAAGAAATCATTTTTCTTATTGTCATGATTGCCATTAAATATCAGTGGACTGAGAATAATTTGTAGGAGAAAAGTGGATTTTTCTCTTTAATGTATCCTGGTCAAGAAGTTTGTCCTTTTTCAGGATTTAGGAAATTGTGTATCACATAAACTACAGCATATCCTCAACTGTTAACTTCCACTTTTAAAAATGAGAGGATGTAACACTGAATTAAAAATTAAGAGATAGCAGATTTTTAATAGAAACATAATCTAACTGCTTAAAAGTAAAATTAGATCACCAAAGAGAGTGATTTTTTTCTTTTCCTTAATGTCATTCCTTTCTTGGTCAGATTAAGTGGTTGATCCATTAACACGTGACCTCTGTCTTACTATTCTGCATGAAATGAACAAAATCTCAAGACTTGATAGCTCCTTAAAGACTGCATATTTCGGCCAGGCATGGTGGCTCACGCCTGTAATCCCGGCACTTTGGGAGGCCGAGGCAGGCGGATCAAGAGGTCAGGAGTTTGAGACCAGCCTGACCAACATGGTGAAACCCTGTCTCTACTAAAAATACAGAAATTAGCTGGGCGTGGTGGCACGTGCCTGTAATCCCAGCTACTCAGGAGGCTGAGGCAGGAGAATCGCTTGAACCTGGGAGGTGGAGGTTGCAGTGAGCTGAGATCTTGCCACTGCACTCCAGCCTGGGCAAGAGAGCAAGACTGTCTCAAAAACAAACAAAAAAACTGCATATTTCTTGCACAATAGCAGCCTGATCCCTTTTAAGGTGGTCTAGATTAGTATAACACTTTCATTACATTTTCTATACAATTAACTATGAGAAATAACTGTTTTCTGCTACAGACGTGGTGTGTGACTAAACACAGTGATTATCTGTACTTAGGATTTGAATATAGTGTCACAGTTTTTACTCACAATTGCATTGTATTTAAGTTATATGTTAAGCTCATAAGAGAGTATGGAAAAGGAGTTCATATCAAAGTTGCATAATTCTAAATGTAATAAGCTCACTTTCAGTTTGAATTCATACAGAAATTCATGCTTTTGTTAGCTGATGGTCATCAAAACTTACAACATTTTATAAAACTAATCACTCTCCCCCTACAAAAGTTCATATTTGGAAAGCAAGAAGTATGGTTAAACTAAAGCATTCTAACACTAGAGTCAGTATGCACTTATTTAGGCTTTGAGAAATAGTTTATACCTGGAAGTGGATAAGAAAAAATCAACTGTATTGCACAAATTTTCTTTACATGCCAAATCCATCTATGATGTCAAAGTTTGTTAAATGTATTCTCTAATGCCTCAAAACAGGTGTTTCAGAGTACCTGAATGTAATATCTTCCATGTAACAGGTCACTTAATTTTAAAGGATAACAGTTGTAGAGAGTATTAGAATTTTAGCTTGTTAGATGGTACAACTTAATGTAAAGAATTTGGTAGAAACCTCGGCTACTGGGAAACACTTGTATTACAAAACCAATTCATTCTCTTACAGGTTATGGGAGAAAGTTCAGTCATGCAAGTTAGATGACTGTGTCTGGTAAAACATTCGCTGAAAAGTACAAGTTGGTTTACAAAGCAGTACATGAAAATAAAATTATCTCCATCTGTTAACAGAGCAGCTGTGGGAGGGAAGACTTGTTCTCAGGAATAAACAAAAGCCATTCAATGCCAAATTACCAGATGACTCTTGTCTCAGTGTAGACTATCATCCACCTTTACCCAGCCCAGTGGTGCGTGAATTCATAAGACATAAAACTGTTCTTATAACAGAACTTCATGGCTTGGTTTGGTTTTCTTGAAAATGTTATGACTAGGTACCAAGCTAGTAGTATGGAAACTTTGGAAAGCCATTAGCTAACGAAGCAGTAGGAAACATTTACCCAAAATGTATTTATTTGCAAAAATTGAGGTCAGAAGCTAAGAACATTTAAGGGAACACCTTTTGTTAAAAAAAAAAAAAAAAAAGACTTGCTACTTCTGTTTTGAGGTCAGCATAAGGAAACCTTAATATAGCAAATTCTATCAATCTTGTTTTTTTCATCTCTTTTTATTTCTTTGGAAAAGCAGAACAAAACAGAATAAGAAAGGAAAGCACAATGTATAAAAAGAGAGTCAAAACCTAAGCAACTTTGATGGAGTTTTTTTCCCACCTCTTTCTGTTCCAGAATTTCAATGTATTAGTCAAAAGTTCTAAGATGCCTTGTTGACCTTTGCCACTTTTCCTTCCACGGCTTTGCCATGGATGATGATGATGATAAGACGGCGGTTTTTTTTTTGTTTGTTTTGTTTTGTTTTGTTTTGTTTTGAGACGGGGCCTCAGTCTGTCTCATAGGCTGGAAGTGCAGTGGCGCCATCTCGGCTCACTGAAAGCTCAGCCTCCGGGGTTCACTCCATTCTCCTGCCTCCGCCTCCCGAGTAGCTGGGACTACAGGTGCCTGCCATCACGCCCTGCTAATTTTTTGTATTTTTAGTAGAGACAGGGTTTCACCGTGTTAGCCAGGGTGGTCGTGATCTCCTGACCTCGTGATCCACCCGCCTTGGTCTCCCAAAGTGCTGGAATTGCAGGCGTGAACCACTGCGCCCGGCTGATATGATGGCTTTTAATAACAGCAATTGTTGTTCTCCTTATAGGTTACCTATGTGGGTCAACCTTTTATAGGTTACCTTTTGTGGGTCCTATGCTGAGTACTGGCGAACATTTCCTTCAGGCAAAATAAAAACTTTGAGACAGACAGTATTTTCCATGTTTTACAAATGAAGAGGATGAGACTCACAGAAACTACAACATTAAAACAATACATTTAAGAAGTAGTAAAAATGATTATAATTTACCGAGTGGTTAAATGTGCCAGACACTGTACTAAGGGCTTTGCAAACATTAACTCACAGCAGCCCCGTGAGGCAAGGCACCATCTCCATTTTACAGACGAAGAAAATGGAGGATCAGAGAATCCACATGACAGAATCGGAATTTGAACCAAGTTTTCTATCAGTCTTCCAACGAACAGCAATCCCTTATTTAATGGGAATACAGGAATTCTAATTGAAATTGTAGAGTTTTCAAAAGTAACTGTCTGATTACGAAGATCTTATTATGATGTGATAAAGATAAAGCCAGATACAACCACTCTGAAAGGGTACTATATAATAACCTTCTGTGTCCAAAAATGCTTCCTTTACCAACTTGCAACTGATTCCTGAAATTTCAGCATTAAGGAATGCTGAATGCCTTTTAGGAAGGGAAAGGGTTGGTTGGGTTTTATCCCATGTTTTGAAAGTAGGTTATTGGAATTTATGAGCTGTTTTCCATTGTGATATCCAATTGAGAGGTGATTTGGATACAATGGTGGATGAGAAGAGTTCCCTTAATAGAAGACTTCAGTTTCAGTCCTAACTGAAAATGAAAGGAGAAGCGATTTTAAAAAAGGTAGAAAGACCCTGTGCCTAGCTTAACCTGATGAACACTCTGTTTTAGACAGCTTCTATTGTACATAGGACAAATGCTTAATTAGCGTGTCATTCAATCAAATGACAAAGTAATAAATGCTGTTAACCTGTCAACACTAGAAAAAGTTTTCATCCTAACATGCTTGTCATACAAATCAAGGGAATTCAAGACAAATATACGCTAGTTCAAAACTAACTGACAAGGATATTGACTTCTGATCTCAGTATAAATTTGCTTAGTTCTAGCAGATAACATTACCAGATGGGGGACCCTTTTTTTTTTTTTTTTTTGAGACAGGGTCTCACTCTGTTGCCCAGGCTACAGTGCAGTGGCGCAATCATAGCTCACTGCAGCCTCAACCTCCTGGGCGCAAGGGTTTTGCTCACCTAACACCTGAGTAGCTGGGACCACATATACATGCCACCATGCCTGGCTAATTTTTTTATTTTATTTTATTTTTATTCTTAGAGATGGGGTCTCACTGTGTTGCCCAGTCTTTTTCTAACTCCTGGGCTCAAGTGATCCTCCTGCCTTGGCCTTTCAAAAGTGCTGGGATTATGGGCATGAGCCATCCCACTCATCCAGCTCCTAATATTTTAAAAACTCAATTTTATAAATACCTATTCTGTGCCTAATGCTAGAATACAGAGATGCATAGGATATGCCTCTTGTTCATAAAGATTTCATAATCAATAAAATACCTTGTATTTGAGTGGTAATAATTTTGAGTGCTATGTGACTATAGAAGAGGAAGACATTACAATTCATGTAATGTACTTATCATCTATATGTTCATATAGTGCCTAAGACCCAGTGTTTTCCATATCTCTAAGTCAGCCCCAAAGTTAGTGGATATCCAGGGTGGTATATGAGCTAACATGAATAACAGCTATTGAGGGCTTTCTGGTTGGACTGGTGATAATGTAGAGTAGAAAGCAATGTACTTTTAATAATTCTTTCTACTTCTCTCTTAATATGGAGAATATATATTTGATTTTATATATCTACATAGAATTCTATTATGTTTTTTACTTTCTAGGTTACTGACATTAAAAAAAATATTTCTGCCTGAAAGATTTTCAATTCTTGATTTCTTTTTTCCCTGTTTATTCTTTCTAATTTACTCACTCAGTGACTCAGATTACCTATATCCCTAGTGAGTAGCCCCCATAAAAAGATACTGTGTAAACCAGGTAAACAGAAAAACAAAAACCACCAAGGCTTTTTTTTTTTTGCCAAACTATAGTCATGACAACATAGGTTGATTATACAGGTGATATTTTATATTTACTTTAGTTTGCATTTACCCAATGGTATAATAAAATGGAGACTAACCATTTGTTTCATTGTAGCATGCCAAGAATCAAGCACTACAAAGTGATGAGTATAGGACAAAACTACACTATTGAACTGGAAAAACCTGTAAGTAGCTAATTTTGTTGTTGTTGATGAACTTCCTCCCGATTCCTTATAGCCTCCTAGTGCTGGCAAAAAGCAGGCAAGTTAAGGGCCCCTGAATGTGGCAGATATACAAGGTGAAAGTGAGATTCAGGAACAGGTGGGTGAGGCAGAGTAAAAGGTAATTTGCTTCTAAAAATTCTTTCCCCTTTTCTTTCTCTGCAAGTCTCTCAAGGTTTGCAGGGAAAGAAAAGTGGAAAGAATTCAGGGAAAGAAAGATATTTTTGTTAAACATTCACCAATTATACACCTTCAAATATGTTTATTTCTAATAGGAAGAAATCTATAAATGCCTAATCCTTTTAATACCTCTAATGCTGAAGTTCAGAAATCCTCTCTTAATAGCAACATAGTAGTGAAGAAAGGATTTCTATTTGTCTTCAACTTTTCTCCCACCCTAGCTGACGTATCATGGGGCTAATGATATAGCTAAGCACTTGACATATATCATCCAATGTAACTGTTATCATTACCCTGAGGTAGATATTGTTATGCCTTTTATACAGGTGAGATAATTGGTATTTACACTGTTCTGAAACAATGAGAATGTGGTGATGTGGCCTACATTCCAGGATGCTGAAAAAGAGAAAATAGCTCTGTGATTTTAGGCTGCAGTAGTGGGAAGATTGAGTCAGGAAAGATGTCTCCAGATATCACTTAAATAGAACTGGTGGGTCTTGAAGATATTTATATTTACCTAGTTCCTCTGCTTCTCCAGGCCCATTGTGTTGATCAAATAGAAAAAGGAACAGTGTGGTTGAATTTCTTATATTTGGTCATAATTCTTAGAGAGTAAGGTAGCTGCTGATTCATAGAGCACACTTCCATCGTTGCCATAAGTGCCTCCCAAAGCTTCTCAGTTATCAGATCCATTCCCAACTAGACTTTTAAAATGAAATTCAATAAAGAAGGCAGATAACTAGATTGCTAAAGGATAATCCAAATAACTAAGTGACTACAAGCAATGGACAAGGAAGAATAATGTGACATCTTTGTAACTGGGTGAACTGGGGCTCATTTCTGTCATTAGCTCATACAGTCTACAGTGTAAGGAAAACTAATAGCCTGGATTATTCTTTCATTTTTCACCATCCCCAACCCCTCAACCCCTCAATGAGGTTGTATTTTTGTGATTTTTTTTTTTTTTTAGAGACAGGAGTCTTGTTATGTTGCCCAGGCTTGAGCACAGTGGCTGTTCACGGGAGCAATCATAGTGCCAGCCTGAAACTCCTGGGCTCAAGTGATCCTCCTACTTCAGCCTCCCGAGTAGCAGGAACTACAGGTGCATGCTACTGCGCCTGGCTCAGGAATTCTTTTTCCTCTTCAAGGTTATCTGGCATATTCTGGCATATTTATTCTGACTTCACTTGTATAAAAATATTAGTTTAGGGGTAGAGACATATTTTATCTACTCCTAGACCAGCAAATTATCCTGTTACAATAAAATACTAAAATGCTTAAATTCTCTGGTTTTAAAGGTTATTTGCTTTAAAGCAGAAGAAACCAACTACAGCTAACTTAAGAAAAAATAAATTTATTATAAGAACATAGAATGACTGGAAGGGTAGCAAACCTTCAGAGACTAGCAAGCAGTTACTTGTGCTAAGAACTATATGATAAGGAAACTGGGTATCCTTCTTTGTTCTTCAAGTTCGAATTTCAGAAAGAAAGCATTTTCTGGCCTAACTTCAGTCACATTCTTTTGCTCCCCCCATTTTTTAAGGGACAGGGTCTTACCCTGTAACTCAGGCTGGGGTACAGTAGGACTATCATAACTCATGCAGCCTCGAACTTCTGGACTCATGGAATCCTCCTGCCTCAGCCTCCTGAGCAGCTGGCGCTACAGGTGTGAGCTACCACACCTAGCTAATTTTTTCAATTTTTGTAGAGACAGGATCTCACTACGTTGCTCAGGCTGGTCTGAAACTCCTGGTCTCAAGTGATCCTCCCACTTGGACTTCCCAAAGTGCTGGGATTACAGGTGTAAGCCACCACACTTGGCTTACATTCTTATGCTTTAATTGAGGGAGAGCAAGCCACCTAACTATTGTCTACCAGATTGTGTTCAATGGGAAAGGTGGTAATTCCTCAACAGGGAATGGACACATGGTCAATTAAAAAGGAGAAATAAGACACAGGGATAGGTAAAACTATGGTCATACAGTATGCCATTGAAGTGAAGTAATGACAGTAATCTCCATTAGATTCCAATTGAGCCTTCTCTTACTCTACCTTTATCCATGTGACGCTGAGTTTTCTCTCACTCTCTATTAATATAGGTAACACTCCCAAACCTTTTCAGCGTCATTGATTATTTTGTGAAGGAGACTCGAGGAAATTTAAGACCATTTATATGTTCAACTGATGAAAACACTGGTATGTTTTTCACTTCATTGCTCTGTTAAGGGAAACAAAACAAAACAAAACTCCCAAAACTCTGCATATGATTTATAGTACCAGCCAGGCAGGAACTGTAGTTCAGTCTTTAAATTTATCCATTTGGAAATCATTTTGTCATTCAGTCTGTGAAAATAGGAAAGTACCAATATGTATTATGAACAGAGTATGGGTGCATTCTAGGGAATGGAAAACCCTGAGGAAAGTATTATTACTATTAATTTCATTCTATCATTCTACTCGGCTTTATCTAACAAATTCAGAGGTAAGAGAAAACCATAATCATAAAAGTTAATGGAAACAAAATGGTATTTAAAGGGAGAGTCTGTCAACAATGTTAGATGCGTAATACGGGATAAAATGAATGAAGATTAAGAAGAGACGATGGGAAGTGATTAGCCAATACATGACTTGAGAGAGAGAAGTTTTATTCCAGTGTGAAGACAGAAGTCAGATTGCAAAATAACAAGGAATGAGTGGGTGGTGAGGAATTACAGATAAAGATTGTAGCTAGGAACAGCTACATAATTTGCCAGCCCCTTGTTCATAAATTAAGAATTTCAAAAACAGTTATAGCAAACAGTTTACACACCCCTGAAACTGGCTCTCTTTGCAGTCCAATTTCTGGCAGAGCAAGCCAGGCTGAATGTAATAGTAGTCTCTCTGTATCTTATGGAACAGTTCCTGGTACACATGGTCACTGACAAACTGTAAGCAGGAGAGAGAAAGTACCTCCAGCTTGTTTGGATTTTAGTTATCAAAACAAGTCTCTTTTTTGACAGATTATGGGGGAAAGCAACCTTACTTGGCTACCAGCATCAAGGGCATATCTGGATAGTCTTATTAATTAAAAGGATAGCAAGTTTAAAAGTCCAAGTTCTTAAAACATGATTATGAATCTCGTGATGCCAAATAATAACAGTAACCAAAACCACAGAATCTCAGGATTTGAAGGAACTTTAGAAAATTATAGTATCTTATATGTTTAGAACTCACCTGCACATTCAGTACAGGAAATATCTCTAAGATATGATCCCTTCAGCTTGTCTGTAAATTGTGAATGTAAGGGGGCTTAAATTTGATTTTTGAAGCAGCACAGTTCATTTCTGGACAGTTCTCATATTAGAGAATTCTTCCTTGATATTGAATCTGAAGCATTCCCTCAACTTCTACATATTAATCCAATGTCTGCCTTTGAAACATTACGACTTAAAAGCCCGTCAAATTTTTAAAAATGTCTACAATGTTTCCCCTCAGTTTTTTACTCTGTCATCTAAATTATTGGTTCCTGAATTTCTCTCTCATCTTTGATGTTCTTTTTACATTGTCTAATTTTTAAACTTGTCACTTAAAATATAACCCTACTGAATAATAATGTTGAGCATCTTTTTATGTGTTATTTGCCATTATATATTTGGGAAAGTATGTGTTTGAATCTTTTGCCCATATTTTTATTGGGTTGTTTTTCTTTCATACTTGTTTTGAGAGCTCTTAACCGATACAAGTTTTTTTTTTTCTTTTTTTCTTTTTTTTTGGTATGATTGGGAAGTATTTTCTCAGTCTGTGATTTGTCTTTTCATTCTTTTAACAGTGTCTTTGGGAGAGCAGAAGTTTTAAATTTGGCTTCTGTAGATTATACTTTGGTGTTATACCTGAGAACTCTGCCTAACCTAAAATCATGAAGACTATTTTCCTGTTTTCTTTTAGAAGTGTTGTAAATTTATGTTTCACATTTAGATCTATGATACATTTTGGATTTTTAAACTGGGAGGGATGGGTCAAGATTCATTTAGTTGCATTTAGATGTGTAATTGTTCCAGCCCCATTTGTTTAAAAAGATTATCCCACTGAACAGGGCAGCCCACACCTGTAATCCCAGCACTTTGAGAGGACAAGGCAGGAAGATCACTTTGAGAGCATTGTGGGCAACAGAGGGAGACTTCATCTCTACAAAAAAAAAAAAAAAATGCTGGGTATGGTAGCCCATGCCTGTAGTCCTAGCTACTTTGGAGGGTGAGGCAGCCAGAAGTTCAAGGTTGCAGTGCACTGACTGTGCCAATGCACAATTTGAAAGGGCAGGAGTGAGACCCCTTCTCTAAAAAGTAAAAATAAAAATAAATACTTCTCCATTGAATTGTCTTTGCAACATCTGTAAAAATCTATTGACCATTTTTGCATGGATTAATTTCCAATGATATATGTTCCTACCATTTTGCCACATTTACTATAACTTCATAGTAATTCTTGAAATCAGGAGGAATATTTTGTTCTTTGCTCTTTTCTTTTTCAAAATTGTTTAGACTAGTCTAGTTTCTTTGCCTTTCATTATAAATTTTAGAATCAGCTTGTTGCTATCCAGAGAACAATTCTCCTGAGACTTTGACTGGATTGTGTCGAATCTGTTGATCAGTTCAGGAAGAACTGACATCATAATACTGAGTCTTCCAGTCGAGGAATGCAATATATTGGTACATTTTGGCTGTCCTTGATTTCTTTCATAGAGCTTTGTTTCAGCATACAGCATCGGCACATATTTTGTTTGATTTATAGGTATTTAAATTTTTGTT